AACTGGAGAAGAGAAAGACCCATGTGTCATCCGGCCCAGTCCTCCCTGGACTCTGTGGCTCATTCTTCCCACAGTCCCTCCGTTAGAGTCCTGCCTGGCCTTGTTTCCAGGTGGCAGTGTCACCTCGTGTGCCTTGGGAAGTTACTCTCCATAGTTCTCTGGCCAGACCCCAGAGGATCTCACCCTGGTCAAGCAGATGACCTCCTGTTTACCTTCTCTGTCCTCCTCATCCCCTCCTCTGCTGTTCGGTGTCTGGAGAACTCGGGAGCCCCTAGTGAGGGCGTGAGAGCCGTAAACATTTGGCCCGTCCTCACGGACCCCCTCAGAAGCTGTCTGAAATCCTTCCGCCAGGATGCCTAGAGATGTTGCGCTCCTTTGGCCAGAGCTGCTGCTGCCACCGAGCCTCCGGCTTCACCACAGCAGGCAGCTTGCAGCGGCAGCTGTCCAGAAACCTGAGCAGCTCCTGGTGCTGTGGCCGCCCTGGCTGTGGTTGGGGATCCCAGCAAGACTCCTCAAATTCACCGTTGCCATGACCGAGAGAGCAGCTCCAAGTGGGCCTCTTCCTGGCGGGGGGGTGGGCAAGGTTTCCTTCACTTGGGGCACCGTCTTTCAGGTCTCTGAAGCATGTTTCATTTTGTCCTTTGTAAGGCTAAACTTCTCAGGGCCTGTGACTTTTAGCCCCCCAGCCTCATTCACAACGAGATCTCTTCCCTGAGTCCGTGAGCCCACCTCATCCTTGAGATTATCAGCAAAAAGGTGGTCGGACCGTCCCACTAGGATGGTGCAGGGGATCTGGTATGGAATCAGGACTCGTTTTAAAATCAAACAGGCCAGTTTTAATGACCGTTTCCACCCGCTGTGCTACCTTGGGGAGTTTAAGCAAGTTTATTTTAACCCTCGCTGAAGCTCAGTTTCCTCATCTCTAGGCAGGAAGAATGAGTATCTACTTGATGGGGTCGTGCTGAGGGAAGGAGTACAGTCCTTGGCCCTGAGTCGTCATTATTAACCTAGCTCTTCTATTTCCTTCTTTTTGTTAGAACTTGATCTCTCATGGCCCAAAGTTCTGAGCCCTCCCTTTGTAGCATTAGAAGAAGTTAGGGTAGAGGGACTCGAGACCAGCACCCCACCAAGAGAACCCTGAGGGCCCAGGGCAAGAGTGGCAGCGTGTGGCCATGGTGTGTGCCGAGGCGAAGCTGTGGTTTGGCCAGCTGGCCATCCGCCCGGGGCTGGGCCTCCTTTCCTAGGAATGGGCAGCCAGATACCATCCAAAAGTATGTGAATTCTAAGTGCCCTGGAAACAAAACCAAGGCTGCAGCACAGAAAGTTTAGAAAAACAAAATGGCGCCTTCATAAAAAGAAAGTGAACTTCTTGAAGAAAACCAATTCTGACGGGGGGGAAAAAGGCAAATCGACTCCGAATGGGATCATGTTTTATTCAGGATTTGTGCTGCCGGTGGGGAAGGCCAGCGCTCGGTGACAGGATGGGAAAGTGGGCCACCCCAACTTCAAGCCTCATGCACTCTGCCATGAAGTACTTCTCGCTTCACTGGGCTCAGCTCCTGGGGACCTCTAATGGCCCTTGATAGCAAACATAGTTAAAAATTAACAGACTGACGGAATTAAATATGGATGACAAGCAGCCACCGTGGACTTGATCTGACACAGGATGTTACACGCCTGGGTGCCCTCGGCCCGAGTGGCGTCTTGAGTGAGCTTCTGGGGTGTCTGAGCACATTTCGCATGCCCGTTTGAAGGCAAGAATCTGGCTTGTGCTTAGGACAGACAGGGAAGGAGTCTAAAAGCCCAGGAGAGAAAATGATCCCCGAAGGCTTACGGTTAATTAAGCCCAGCCTTGACTGGTCTTAGCAGGAGGTGTTCGCAGGGGTCTAGACCTTGTCACTGCCTGGGCTCAGGCCCCAGCCGTGTCACCGTCCGGACAGGGAGATCTTGGGGGGGGCATGCGGCCCGGCTGGAGCGTAACCTCCTTGAGCCAGGACTAACTTGCTCGCTCCCTTCCTGGCAGTTGGGGTAGGTCAGAAGGCCGACTTAACCTTTGGAGCAATTCACATAGATCTTGACATTTTGCCTAGATGATGGCAACTTGTTTAATTGCCCTAGGCAAGGGTATTAGATGCCGGACAAAGGAAAGAATGGGATTGCATTTTGTGCCCTCCGCATCCGCTGAGAGAGAGGATGGGCCAGCCGTTGGGGGAGGGGAAGGGGGTGGAGGTTCCTTTAGAGCGGTCCTCGGTGGGCCTCATTTCAGCGAACAAATTCCTGAGAAGTGTTTGCCAGTTTTGGTGAACACTGTATTAGATAGGGCAGGGGTGCTATTTTAAAGAACCCTGTGATTAGTCCCATAAAGAAGATCACCTCCTGGATTGCAGCCCAGTCGAGTCTCTGGGGTGAGTCTGGAGTTTCTTGGACCACAGTGTGCTCCTGGCTTGCCAGCCTCTCCTTAGCCTAGAGCCCGTTGGCAAGGTTCGCTGTAGGCCCTGACGTGCTTTCTTTGGTGCTGCTGCTCGGAGTGGATCCTTGGGCCTGGAGTCAGCAGGCCAGACACGGTTATAACTGCACAACGTGTGAGGGGCTGGCTGCTGCTGTAGCAGTGTTGGCAGAGCCCCAGCGGGGTGGTGGGCGCTCCTTCTCGGGCGCCGTGTAGGACCCTAAATACCCGTGCCTAGAAAAGGAGAGCGCGGCTCTGGACAGCTGGCCCTGGGGAAATCGCATTCAGGTACAGCACCTGCTGTACGAGCTTTGTTAAGAGCTAGAAGCTTGGATGCCATATTGGCACGCTTTGGCCTCCCGGACCCACCAAAAGTCACCCCCGGAAGGGGCCTTCCTCTCCAGCATTTCTTAGCAACTGCCGGCAAACGTAATGAAAAGATTCTGTGGGCAGATAAATTTGGGGAACCCAGGGTTAAAGCAAGTCAGACATGTTTCTTCATGGTGGAACTTCTGGAGTGTTTAATGTGTATCTCGATTCCGCGGAAAGGGCAGAGACTGCGTTCTCTCTGGCTTGACCCCAGAGTATCTCTAGACAGCCTGCGTCCAGCCACACTTTGGAAACCTGACCCAGGAGCCGTCTCTCTCAAAATTGGACTTGTACATCCTCTCCTGAAGGGCTTGTGACATGCAGGCGCTGGGGTTTCTCTCCCAGAGCTTTCTGCATTTCTGACAGGTTCCCAGGTGACGCTGGTGGGCCAGGGGCCACACTCTGAGAACCGCTGGTCACTCCTTACACTGAGGCAGGCACCTGGTAGGCTCCTCTGCTGCTTCTAAGGCGGGTGCGGTGAGGCCAGGCAGTCGCTAGAAGGGAGGGGTGGGGAGTAGAGCGCAGGTCCGTAGTCTCGCTGCTTGCTGTGTGTGTGCTGCGCGGCTCACAGGCCCTGCTGAAGGGCTGAGGGCCCCACTCTAGAGGTCACGGTCTTCGTGCTGCGGCAACATGATTGGGAATGTGAATTCTGTGTCTGCTTTAATCCTCTGGGTTAGCTTCCTCATCTGTAAGCGGCAGAGGACAGAAATGACTTTCACGGATACTTACAACTTTCCCTAGCATTCCATTTTATTTTTGCCCTGGGCTGTTTCTGTTTCTGGGGGATCACCTCTCCTGTCCGAGCTCTCTCACACGTGTCGCAGGAGCTGGAACCATCCGTGCTATGGCCCTGGATACCTCAGTGTCACTTTGCGGGGCCGCTGTGTTTCCAAGAGCATTCCCGAAGTGTGACGGTGGAACCCCGAACGGTGTGGGCCCTGGATAGTGAACCGGAGCGGTCATGACTCAGCGTTACCGAGTTTGAGGGGAGGCGGGGCCCAGGGTCTTCCGGGCTGCTTATGGGCTCGCAGGCCCCTGTGCGTGCAGTGGTGTGCTTGGCCGCCTGGCAGCGTGAGCAGCGGTGCTGGTGTGGGTCACAGACATCGGGAGAGGTTCTGCTAGGGACCTGAGAAGCCCCCAGGATGGTAGGCAGGGTTGTGAGTGTGCTGTTGGTGTGTGTCGCTGTGCGCCAGCTCACGTGCATTCTTCTACAGACAGGATCCTGTCTTACACGGAAGCTGCATAGACCTGCCCCTGCTGCATCGTGTCTGGAGAGGGAGTCAGGGAAGCCCAGGTTTCCCCAGTGTTGATGACGCACGGAAGCAGCCCCTAGGCAGTGGGCAGGAATGGCCACCGGTGACCTGGAGCCAGAAACCACAGCAGAGCAGGCAGCCCAAGTGGGCGTCCGTCCCCCCACTTCTGGAGGACGGCAGTAGTTAGCACAAAATAGGTTGTTCACCTGGACCGGCTGCGGCAACTCCGTGTGGCCCACGAGCTCTGCTGCTCTGCTCTGCTGCACAGGAATGCGGGGGAGCAGCTCAGCCTGGGCCCTCGGGGGAGGCACTGCCCTCTGCTGGCAAGTGGGTGCCACTGCACCCCCTCGGACCTGCAAGAGGCTGCGAGCGGGTTTGGAGGTCTGTGGAATGCGGTGAGAAGAGCCACCCTGTTGGCAGAGGCAGTGGTGTCCGAGCCATGGAGCACAGAGTGATGAATTTCAGGGCCTCTGTTGGCTCCATCACCGCATCCTCCCCGAGAATCAGCGAGCGGGCCATCTTCTGCTCGGTGAGCTGAGTTCAACTTCTCCCAGACCCCACAGCCCAGAGTCAGCCCGCTTGTCGCCCCGGAGTGCTCAGGTGTTCTAGACCGGGCTGACTCCAGGGCTCCGGGTGCGAGGACAGGCAGGGGGAAGAGGCCAGCGTGCACCAGAGGTTGGCTGAGGCTGGGGTGGTGTGTGGGAGATGAAGGGCTTCCTTCTCGCAGTCACCGTCACCAAAAGTCATGCCATCCACTGCGCCCCCACCCCCCTGGTCAGTCCCTCCTATTCCTGTGTCTCTGAAACACCAACATGTCTTGGCCTCGTGGGGCTCAGCGCCTCAGCCCCACACCCGGGCATCACCAGTCGCCACCACCACGCTCCCTCCGACTCCAGTGCACACAGACCCATCCCCTCCCGCTGTGTGTTTAGGTTCCCAGCCCCCCACCTGCCATGGGGCTGTGCCCCCATCCCCTCCTTTACCACCTGGCTCAGGAAGGCAGCTCCAAGTCTGCCCTTTGCTTAGTGAGCAAGTGGACTCAGATGCACAAAGCCATAAGCCACGGGTAGGTATGAAATTTTTGTCTTTCTCTCACTGACCTCCTCCCTTTTGCCTCCTCCTCCCACACCCCTGTACTCCTCCCTCCCTTGTCCTTCCCATCCTCCCACACTTCGCTCCTTTATTTCTCTTCTTTACTCTGCATACACTCCTGAATTCCCAAGAGGACATGTTTTTAGCCTTCATCCCCGTAATTGCTATTGAGGGCTGAAAACGACTCTGGCCCCGCCTTAGATGAACTTCAGTACCTGCCGCTGGCTCCCGAGGAATACAGCTTTGCCCTCTCACAATGTGGGGGGCCCCTCAAGCTGGTGATCTGATTTCTAGGTGGTCCCCAGAGGATCTCCCATGAACAGCTGGCCCAAGGGGTTCTCTGAGCTGGATTCCTGGTATGGGGAGAAGCTCAGAAAGCATCTTTGGTCTTTTTAAGTCTTCGTTTCCCAAGTAGTTGAGGCCCCAAGTTGGGATCGAGTCCCCCAGTGTGGCCCCTCACCCTGTGTTGAGAGCCAGAGAGGAAGAAGGCCCATGGGGCAGAAGGAAATGCTGAGGACTCCTGCGTGTGGCCTAAGACCGATGGCCGGGATCCTGTGTGAGCTCTGTCTGGGGGCCCGCTCCTAGACAAGTTACGAGAGCTAGTGGAGCCCGGGCCTGGATCCTGACCCCACTGGGCTCTGTGCCCGTGGGATGTCACTCAGAATACCTGGATCTCAATTGATTTCCCTACCTGTAAAAGGTTAGAAGAGGCAGCGGGTGTCATCAGCCCCCCAGAGCACCCCTGGCCCCCAGTTCTGGGGTTGCCTTGCAGGTTTCAGGCCCCCTGCGTGTCCACGTCTGCCAGACGCTGCTGCATCTGTTATGCTCTGGAGATCTGAGTAAGGTGCCGTGTGAAAAGGGGGTTCTCCAGCAAAATCTGTTTTATTAAAGCTTCGAAGTAGATTTATCAGGGTAAAATTCCTTCCAGCATTGCATTCTACTCTAGAATTTGGGCCAGACCCAGGTCAAAGATCCGTCCTTGACCTGCCACCCTGGGGAGGAAGCCCCTCTCCACAGAGCCATCCAGTCCTCCTGAGCGTCTCCCCGCTTTCATGTAATCGCTCTCCCTGCCCCCCGCCCCCCAGCTGCCTGTGTTGCTCCCCAGCTTTACGGGGAGGCCTTCCCTCCTCCAGCGAAGCAGGAGCAGCAGCAGTGGTAAATGGCCATTCCTTGCTTCAGGCCAAAGGCTTCGGGGCAGAACTGACACTGCCGACAGACGGACATTTGTTAAGGCCAAAGTGCGCTTGTCCTCGGGTTTGTTTCTTTGCACTGTCCTCAGCGCAGGGCCGGGAACGTTCTGCCCGGTGGACAAAGCGTCACTCTCTTTGTTTCGTCGCCGGCCTTCCGCTTGGAAACCTCATGGAAAAGCTGGGGCTGCAGGTCCTTCTCAGCAGAGTGAGCAGAGGGCTTGGGGTTCCACATACCCCACAGGGCCGAGAAGCCAGAAGCCTTTTTTTTTAAAAGGACAGGAGCAGAATCTCAAAGATGTCCTGGCCAGCTTGCTGGCACGGATGGGTGGCGAACTGTCGCTCCTCTGTGGGAGCAGACGCGCGCCTGCGCAGCCCGGGAGGCAGCACGAGCCGCAGCCTCGGCCGGGAGGGTGGGAGCCGCCGGGTCCGCTGTGGCCCCTGAGCGCGGCCCCCGTGTGCCCTAGGGGGACGCGGAAGACCTCTCGGACCGCTGCACCGCTTGTCCTCGGCCCCTGGGGGACAAGTGGGCCCCATCTGGGAACAGCGAGGGGGCGGCCGCCAGCCCTGGTTCACCGCCTTCCCCGCACGTGTCTTTGCAGATGCGCTGGCTCCCTCCGTCCGAGGCTACTTCTCAGGGCTGGAAGTCCCGTCAGTTCTGCTGAATACCACGTGAGTACGCGCGCCCGACAGCCCCGTGCGCCGCGCACATCCGCCGGGGAGCGGCGGCTCTTCCCAGAGAGTCTCCCGGGGCCTGAGACCCCGAATCGCGGTCTTGCGCGTCACAGAGCAGCGGCCGGGCGCGGCTTCCGTGTGGTGGCGGGCGGGGGTGGGTTGGACACGGGGTGACACGGCAGCACCGGTGCCGCCGAGCGGGGTCTGCGCGCATGCGCGCGTTGCGCTTGGGCCGAGTTGGCGCTGCCGCGAAGGCAGGCGGTGTGCGGGTGCGCGCAGGCTTGCTTTCCTTCGAGGGTCTGGTCCAGGAAACCCTAACCTTGGCGCCCTTTTATTTGAGGCCTAACCTTGCTTTAGGGAACTACCGACTCAATTTTTTTTCTGTAAATAATTTGCGTGAAATTACAAACGCTGCGTTTAACTGGGTATCTTGACCGAATTTCTGTTAAAGCACTGTTACTCAGAACTCTGATGTGGGCTGTCCGTTAGGGGCGTCTGCCCTCAAGAAGTCCCTGAGATGTCACACTTCGACAGTCTATGGTTTCTGGTGCTTTCTATCACTTCTTGACAACCCAGGAAGAAAAGTGAGAGTAGGGAGAGACTGGACCTTCATACACTTAGAAATGCTAGAATGATGTACACACCTATACAGGATGATCTTTTGAAGGACTTGCGTGAGAAAAACTGGCCTCTGGTTAGGGTTAGGTCCACCTTCAGTGGGGAACAGTTTCTGACCGTTCACAGGGGACAGACATACTGGGAAGCAGGAGCTGCCAAGCCGGCCTCATACAGGGCAGTGCCCTCCTAGTGGGGAGGAAGGAGAGCACTGAATAGGATTTTCAAAGAGTTCTGGAATTTGTTGTCCACAGGCAAGCAAGCTGCCCTGCTGACCTGAAGTCTTGCTTGGGGGGTCGTGTCCCTTCATTTCAGTTTCCAGGGTGACAGCTGAGCGTGGACTTCATTGGCTGAAGTCTTTACCGCCGCACTTGTAGAGAGCTCGGTTGGAAGGCCGGCGTCCTTATTCTGGAGGAAGGGCCTCACCACACGGGAGAATTGGTGGTGGGCATCAGAGTGGCCAGGCAGCAGACCCACCCCACAACTGGTCAGGATTCTTGCTCTGCTGGTGGGGTAATGAGTAAGTTGAGGGACATTTCTTTGCTTGCTCAACTCCAGTAACAGAATCGTACCTATTCCTAAGTGGCCAGAGCAACGCTAGTCCTTGGGGATGATGGAGGCAGAGTACGTAAATGTTGCCAAGGTCAAAAAGAACACTTTTTTTTTTTTTTTTTGCTTGTTTTTTACCAAAAGATTCTTGGGACCCTTATTATAACACGAGCATCATAAATCTGTAAGATTAGGGAACTCAAGGATGCGACATTCCTCAAACTCGTTGGAGACAGGGGAGCCCTCTCTTTCATAGACGCTCAGGAGACTGCCGTTTCACATAGAGCACATTTTGGGAAACCTGGCCCTAATCTCTTACCCAGAACCTAAACCAATGACACCCACTTACAGAGATCTCTGGGCCAATGGTCATTATGTTAGAGTTACCACTAATCTATTTATAATGAGGCAAAAAATTAGGACAGTGTAGTAGATTTTTTTGTGCTGCTTATATTTGCCCCTTACTCTGAAATTATGTTTTGTGTTCACGTATGCATTTTACATGAAGTGGTAGTATCTGTGAATGGCAATTGCATTTTAAATGTAGCTTCTTAAGAAAAAAGTCAGTCCATGGTAGATACTGAAAGTAGTTAAAATATTTTACTATTTTGTGAAATGTAAAAGTTTGCTGTTTAGGGGGTTTCTCTTCCTGGAAATAAAATTGGTAAGCTTTGAGGTATATTCTAGGGTCCATTATGTCCAGGACTCCCAAGTCCATGTACCATATCCATATGCCCATAATTAATTTTTAAAATGACCTGTCCCTAGCGCTCTGTTCTTTGTGCACAAAAGCCTTAGTCACTTCGTCATGAGGGACCCTGCCCCTGTCACCCGGGGCGAGGTGGGTGCAGCACTGTCATTTGGCTCCAGAAGGCACTGATTGGTCATGTGCTCCTCTGCCCCCAGGACTGTGCATCATCTGTCCGTTCTGAGAGGCTGCTAGGTGTTCACCCAGAGGGACCCAGCACTGGGTAACGGGGAATTCTGAAGCTCACGAAGGAGCTGACGGGTTGGGGGTAGACCTGGCATTCAGCCTAAGCAGGAAGTTGAGGCAGTTGATGAAACCGGAAGCGAGGTCAGCCGGGCGCAGCCCTGAGGCTCACGCAGCCGTGGAGCCAGCGGAGGACGAGCAGCCTGTGGAAAACGGAGGGTGCCCGCAGGCGCCGGGGAGGGCTGGAGCCTGGAAGGCCAGTGGTGAGCTGCTGGGGTCGGTAGTAGTAGGTGGTGTAGGAAGGTTGAGTCAGATGAGAGGATGCGTCCAAACCTGGCAGTGGCAGTTGGCCGAGGATGGTGGTGGCGTAAGGGCTTGAGGAAGGATTTTTTAAGCATTTATATAGGCCCGAAGGGAAGGCATGATCATGAAGCAGCTGCACGGTTCCAGCCAGTAAGATCCTGCCCTTTGTTTCTCTCCGCTCACCCAAGCTGTTCCGGATCATCCTTCCCCACAGACCTATCCACCAGAGACCTAGAGGCAGCAGTAGCTACCAAAGAAGGCCTAGCGGTTTCCCCCTTCGCAAGTATGGCTTGTGAAGCTGCCAGACCTGTATGAAGGCGGAATATCTTGTGTGGGCGCACGGGCAAAACTGGTCTTTCAGAAAGGCCAAATGTAGGGTAGGTAAGGCCAGCGACATCACTGTTCCACATGACCTTCGTGTTTGTTGCGGGGGGGGGGGTCCTTCTTCTGTGGGAAGGTGGCACTGAATAGAAGACAAGAGCAGGAGTGACATCAGACATGACGACTATACGCAGACCCAGACAGGCCATCACTCCCAACATGTGGAGCTCAGGGGGTGGGGGGAGGGGAAGCACCCTCCAAATCCTCCACAGTCCGGGGCCTGTTTCCTCAGGGCCCTGCAGGGTTTTTCATTTACACACTTTGTCTTTTTCCTGGGAAATCAGGGACTAGACTAGAAAAGTAAACAAGCTCTTCATCCTTTAAGTAAACATATTTTTTTTTAAAGATTTTTACTTACTTATTTGACAGAGAGATCACAAGTAGGCAGAGAGGCAGGCAGAGAGAGAGAGGGAAGCAGGCCCCCCACTGAGCCGAGAGCCTGACTCGGGACTCGATCCCAGGACCCTGAGATCACGACCCAAGCTGAAGGCAGAGGCTTAACCCACTGAGCCACCCAGGCACCCCTAAGTAAACATATATTATATGTCCGCTATGTGCTACACAGGTGGAAAAATCTGCAGGAAGACCAGGCCTGTGCCCCTAAGGAATTCCAGTTCTAGTGGGTGGGAGTCATAGATACACATATGACAGAGAAGAGTGACTGCTCAGGACCCCCGAGGAAGGGCGTGTGAGGAAAGCCCCTCCCAAGGGGGCGGGGGTGTCGAGTTTACTGTCATCAGTGGCATAAGAGCAGCAGAGGGGTGGGTGTCATTTGGGTTTTAATTTTTTCTGCATCCTGCTTGATGGTGTTTAGTCTGGCTACGAGCTCTGCCTGAGCATCACTAGAGTTTGGCTAATGGTCCCGCCACGGGATAGACAACCCCAGATGACAGGATAATCACTGAAAACGATCCATTTCCCAGATGCGTTGACAACAGGAAAGCATGAGCAAGTTTTTAGTAACTCTTTAGAGGGAATGATGACACAGTCTTCCTTGTTGGGTATCCAAATGTAGTTAAATCAAAAAAACTGAGTGAGTTAGGAGCTGGGGCGTTCTTTGAGAACTCTGAAGGGCGTTGAGAACTCTGAGAATCTCCCTGGCCTAGGACCAAGACGATGCACAGAAATTATAAGCACATGTAGTTACAGTGTCAACAAACAAGAGAAGGACATGGCGAGAGATAATAAGACCAGACTGTAAAGCTGTGTATTCCTCGTGTTTTGATTTGGGAGGACCGGCCTCGTCTGTCTCTGGCTGTGAGCACGAGGGCCTTGGGGATAGCCATTGTCCGGGGAGCAGACCAGGGAGGCCTCTGTGGGGAACTCAGGGTTCGCAGCAGTACCCTGCGTACTCCTGTTCACAAAGCCCCATGTGCTTGAGTCGACCTCTTTCTCTGCAGGCAGGAGAGTGGCGTCGCCAGGCCTGAACACGCAAGAGATTAGTGGAAGAGGGCCATTGGCATCCACGTGCTGGGAGGCAGGCGGCCTTCCTTGGCTCCGGGAATTCTCGCAAAAACCAGCTGGCTCAGAGGCAGTCATGCCTACCAAAGAATATTAAAAATTTATGATCTGCTGGGTCTCAGCACCTTCATATTTCAAAATTCTCAGGCCCTTGGGAACAGGTTGTAGTCACAGATGTTTCCATTCAGTACTTGTTTTCCAGAAGGTGCTTGGAGCAAAGTTTAGCTCATCGGTGCATGTGACAGCACAGGACCCTATGGGAGAATGGCTTTTATGTCCTTGGGCTGACCAGTAGTTGTTGCTGTGGTCTGAGGCAGCTTCTGGAGCTGGATAGGTTTTGGGGCGCTTCCTTTCTTGGGGGGGGGGCTTCAGGTCCTGCACTGTTCCTTGACAGGGCTTATGAACAGTCCTGGGGGTTTGGCCCTCGGATCTTCTGCACGACTGCCTTGTCTCGTTGGCCAGGCGGCCTGCTGTTGCAGCGTGGCTCTGATCCGTCCCCATGACGGACGCACGTCTGAAGACGTCTGAAGACCGCATCTCCCCCAGCACACTTTGCTCCAGAGTCCCTTCCCCTCCAGCCTTGGTGCCAGGGAGCCCCCGGGAGCCACACTCCACCACTAAGGCGCTTTCCTTCTGACCGGGCCCGAAGCCGGTGGTCCCTGTGGGGAGCTGCCATGCCACTGGTGTGATCATTCTCACCAGGCACTGGTCATTGGCTCCACCGTGGAGGCCTTGGTCCCTTCGCCATTGACTCTCCGTTCTTTGTTTGCAGAATAGGTGACCCTTCGGGACCCAGGGAAACCCAAGAGCCAACCAGCCCTGGGGTTGGAAATGACCACACACCATTAATGGGTGATTTCTTTCTCTATTCCAGGTTCCAGGTGTGTGATGGTGGCTGCAATCTGTCTTGTGGGTATTAATGCAACCTTCAGTGGTGGCTGCTGTTCTCAAGCTGTTCTACAAAACTGGAGCGTGCTGGTGAGTGGCAGTCAGAGGCTGAACAGGCCCTCTGGGGAGGCAGTGTGTCCTGGGCAGGGCACGGTGATGGAGACCAGCGTGCCCGGATCATCGTACCAGCGTCCTCTGGGAGGGATCCCAGGCATCTGGGGATGGGGCCCAGCAGTCCAGGTGTTAACCGCACCCCCACCCGGATGATTCTGCTGGGCGCCCTAGGTTGAGACGCACTGGTGTGGAGCGCTGCAGTCAGGGGTTTGCTTTTGATGACCTCGTCCAGCCACAGGTGCTTAAGAAAAGGGCATCCTGGGAGGGCGGGGGGAGGGGGGTTTCTGCAGACTCTCTGCCCGCACGGTCTGTGCCCACACCGGCTGTGCCACAGCAGTGGGACGAGCTGTTCCACCGATGCGAATTTACAGATAAATAGACACTTGCGCCTTTTTTGGAAATTAGCCATTTTGTTGAGAATCTTTTAGATGTGGCATGTATATTCCCCCTGACTTCATCCAGTTGTACTGAATGCAGTATAGCCCTCTCAGGGACGCAGAAATGTTTTCATGAGCCTCTTCGGAACGAGACAGGGCGCTCACTACCTCCTCCCTTCTGGGCTTTCCTGTTGGCTGATGAGGTCAGTGATTTGCGGTTCATCAGTTTCGAGGAGGAAGTGTAGTCTCCGGCAGTGGTGTCGCATTCCCACAGGTGACCGGCCTGCTGGCTGCGGTGCAAAGGGGCTTCCAGTCTCTCTCCAAAACTTGGCCTAAAACAACGGGAGTGCTAAGGGCAGGTCCGAAGCAGTTATGTCTCAGCCCAAATAAGGTGGTGAATTTCATCCCTACAAGGGGCCAACGAAGAAAAGATGAGTCAGAAAGAGGGCAAGATTCTTGCTAAGGACAGAGAACCAGGCAGATCTAGCCAAGGAGGTCATTACCACATTTTTGGGACTTAGGTATTTCTTGCTCAGAGTAGAGCCATCCAGAGGCAGGCAAGCCGTGTGCGCCGTGTTTCACAGCCCAGCTCCTCGGCCTGGACAGGAGGCCAGCAGCCTGCACTTGGGGTCTTTCTGCCCACTGATGTGTTTGTCACACTGACCAAACTTAGCAACAGGGAAGGTTTTTCCACATCACGTGGGGCAGCTGATGTTTATCCCACCAGTGCTACAGCCTAATCTATCAGGTTGTCTTTTAGTCCTGGTTCTTCATAGCAATGCCCACGTATGCTACCAGTGTTATCACCTGGTAAAGCCTTTTCGTTTTTTAAAGGTTTTATTTATTTTATTAGAAAGCAAGCATGAGTGTGAGTCGGGGGAGGGGCAGAGGGAGAGAGAGTCTCAAGCAGACTCCACGCTGAGCGCGGGGCCCAATCTCACGACCCTGAGATCATGACCTGAGCTGAAATCAAGAGTCTGAGGCTTACCTGACTGAGCCACCCAGGTGCCCTATGTAGGACCCTTTTAAAGGACGAGATCTTGTTTTTTTCTTCCCCCTTCTCTGGCACACTTTAAAGACCAATTTAAACCTACCCATGTAATTTTTTGGACGTAGGTTAGAATAATGATTTGTTTTTTAAATGTAATAAATGAACCCAAACATCAGTAATTCCAGGCAATGCAGATGAGCCCAGTAGCCAGAGCACGGGGTGACCTCATTTAGACAACAGAAGGGCCTGGTGACCTGGAGCAGGAAAGGGGTGGGAGTAGCCCTGGGACTCGGGGCAGCGGAGAGCTTGCGGGCAGCCAGCACGACCAGATGAGCCGGAGGGCGCCTGGCCACTACCTGTGTTCAGCATGGGGCTCGCCGGTTCTGGGGCCGCCCTTGGGTTACAAGAACAAGTCTGGAGATGGCCCACTGCCGGCTAGCACTGCTCGGATCTGGACCACCAGGGGGCCGAGCCCTCTCTGGCCAGGTGTGGGAGCGGGAACCCACGTGGGGAGTGGGCTGCTGGTGCGAGTTCCTGGGGCCCATGGGTGCCCGCGTGCAGGGGCAGGTGAGGATGTGTGTTTAGGATGCGGAGGGGGAGTTTCCAACTACAGAAGACTGATCTCCTGAGACTAGCCTGTGAACCTTTTAAAATGTTAATGAGGCTTTTTATTACAAATTAATACCAGTGTTCGGTTTTTACAGCTATAAAATGAAAACTGGTCCATGTTTATTGGGAGTTGGGTAGAGGGAACTGTTCTTTATCTGACTTTGGATAAAAATGAATACATTTAGAGAAACTCTTGGGAAAGAAATCGTTAGTAAATAGGCCAACTGTATGTAGTAGGAGGGAAACAATTTTCTTACTGCTGGGAGAAGGAGCCCAAAGTTAAGTGGGGGGAGAGCAGGCCAGGTCTGGCGGCGTGCCCGTGGCAGCCAGCAGCAGCAGCTGTGCCCAGTCCTGAGGGCCACAGGCTGATCTTTTTGCTCAAGGATAAGGGACATGAAATGTTTCAGAACTATAGGACATTCTTTCAGACAGCAGACATTCTCTACGGTCTTACACGGGACAGTGGTGACCTGCCTCTGACAAGCTTTGTTTCATCTACTTCCCTCTGTCTGTCCGTTGACTGCCATTCAGGAAAGGCTGTGAGGAGAAGCTGCTCTGCAAACAGAGCCTGACCCTCTCCCACCCCGCCCCCATCCCTCCACGGTGCTCCGTGTTCCCGGATGTCTCTGTATTCTGTTTAAAATGTCCTTGTTAATACATTCCAAAGTTTGAACTCCGTTCTTAGCTAAACCCCTTCCTTGTTTACAGGGACTGAAATAGCCACATTCTGACCTTCTGTTCAGTCTGGGAACATCTGTGGCAATGTGGACGCATTCTTTTCCCATGTGAGAATTACATATCCATAGCACAGTTATGGAAAAGCTCGGGAAACGATCAGCTCTCGTCCCCCCTTCTCTCTTCCCTCCTCTCTTCGGTGGTTTTCCCTTCAAAGCCTTCCTCCTCAGCCAGAATGCGCCTCGCTTCCTGCTCGGGTGTCCAGGAAGAAGGGGACAGTCCTGGGAGGTCAGGGTCGGCTGCTAAAACCCCGGGGCAGCTGGACGCACCCTCCCTTTCCCCCCTTCACGTGTCTCTTGGGAAGGCCCCCATCAGGGCCAGAGCTGCTCTGGGAGGGTGCTGAGGGGCCCCCGGGCACAGGCTCCTGGCGCTCAGCCAGGGGCGTTATCCCGACTCAGGAACCAGGTCTCAGTGCCACATGCCATTAACTGTCTGTCGCTCCCATTTCCTTTACTGCCCTACGGTGCAGGGGGTCTGACGTTTTGCTACATGCAAGTGACTGTGTCTGGGGTAAAGGCAGGAGGATGTAGTCTTAGAGAGGAAAATAATCTCAGCTGATCCTTGAGGAAGCCAGACAAGTGGCCTGGACAGTGAGGGCGCCCAGTGGGAGCTCAGAAGAGAAAGCCCTGCCCGGGAGCGCTCACACTGGGTTCTGAGTAAGAGCAGGAGGAAGAGCTGTACCACGTGTTTTTGTCCTAAGTGGATTAGGACCAGGCTTTCGAGGGCCTCGAGGGATGTGTTAGGGATTTGGGTCTCAGGGAGGCAGGAGGAAGTAGGAGGAGATGTTTTCAGAATCTGTCAGCTGGCTGCCCACAGCAAAATGAAGAGCCGAGTCGGAAACGTGTACCAGGAGAGGTGAGCCCGAGATGGTGACGGTGGGATGGGACGTCACAGTCCTCCGAGAGAGCAGGGCTGTGTCCACGTCACCAGGGGCTGGTGGAAGGACGGAGACAAAGGCGGAGGGTCAGGAGGGGGAGCCATGTGAAGAAGGTAAAGTCGGGAGTCTGGTTTAGACATGGTGCCTTCGAGGTCATGGCAGAAATGTCCAGGGTGTAGCAGACAGAATCAGAGAATCAGAACCTGGCTGTGGAATCACAAAGGCCAGGAGTAGCAACGTGTTCTTGCCCAAAGGCAGTAGTTAAGCTCTTCAGAGAAAGCTGACCAGCCAGCCAGGCCCCTGGCCAGGGCTGGAAAAGACCACAGGGCCTTGGTCCCTTCTAAACGTGGGGGCAGGTGCCATCACAGGTGGCCAGTGTTCCTTTGCCTCTTCATTCCGTCCCTTCTCGGTCTCTGAAGGCAGTGTGGCAGCTTTGCTTTCAGCCTTTGCTGTCGGGGCCGTGTCCCCACATGGAGGTTTGGCTGCTTTCCCAAGATGGCGCTCTCCAAGCCCAGCTTCTCTGACAGAGGCCTTTGGCAGCGTGCAAGCCCCTGAAGGTTCCCAGAGTCTGAGGGCTGCCGAGCGTCGTCCCCTGTGAATTGTTCCAAAGTAGGAACAGCCGTAGGGGGACTGCTGTTCCTCAGAAACCGTTTCCTGGAACCAGCACACAGCTTGGGCTGCTGGCTTGTGGTCAAGTTTGGGATGACGTGGGACTTGTTCCGAGCCTGACAAGCCATGAGAGTGGGGGAAAATGTCTTGGACCCACTCTAAGCAGGTTTTCTGCTCGCGCATCCAGAGCTGGGGGTGCAAGGGGGTGCTGCCTCTTCCCACTCTGGAGTGGAGGCTCCTTTGGCAGTTCAAGGGCCCATTAGGCATTTGAGGGACCATTAGGTCCTGGGCCCATTGGGAAGGTCAACTGCTCCAGGCCACACACACCTGGTGTCCACGCTGGTTACAGGTCAGGGTGTGGCCAAAGATGAAAAGAGCCTTGTTCACGGTGCGGCACAGATCCTGTGACATGTACCCAACCAAGATGGGTGTGTGTCATCCTGGCCCACTCTGGTTTCTCCTCCCCCTTGCGAGCACCTGCCGAGTGACTGGCGATGCCCCTCCTGTGCTGGGCACCAGGGGAGGCAAAGCACTCCGAAAGTGAGATTTCTAGAAGGCGTTTCTTTCCCCGGATGCTCCTGGCATGTCCAAGCTCTGCTGAGAGTGTGAGGCGGGGGAGGAGGGGGGTCCCTGAGGTGGTGTGTGTAGGCCTCCCAGAGCTTGACCTGGGAGCATCTCCAGCGCCGGGCCTCTCGGTGAGTTAAACTGATGGACTAGAGCGGTGGCCACAAGCTCGAGATGGGTGCATGTTACTCGAACATGACAGGTGAGGCTTTGAATGACCTGCTCACTGCCCTTGAAAGCAGCACCCTGGTCTCTCCCCAGGGGGATTGTTCCATGAACCGTAGCTGTGTGGTTATGATGTTGCATCTTCTGACTCATGGCCCCTTATTTCTGCCGTCACCTGCACACAGGCTATGCCACGATCTCCTGGGTCACAGTGTGGGTGCCTCAGTGCTGCAGACCTGGCTCAGATTTCCTCAAATCATCCAGTTCAGGCTGTTGGCGAGTGTTCGTGGCAGGTTTCTCGCTTCAGGATTTCCTGCTGAATGCGCATCTTCCCAAAGAAGTCTGACTTAGGATGGTCAGATGGGCTGTGGGTTACAGTGCTCTTTTCTTGACAGCTTCCTCCGCCACACAAATAAGCCCTTCCCTGTGGACAGTTCTAGTGTCTGTGGAGTTACTTCTGCCTAGACCTCTGTAAGACCTTTTCTACCTCCAAATTTGGGTCTGACGTGTTGGGAAGATGGCAAGAAAATGGGGACAGAGTAATAGTAGAGGTTTCACAGTGCAGCCTTTACAACAGTGAAGAAAACCGTGGGGCCACACTAGGACTCTGCAAGTGGCAAAGTCTCAGGATGATTCGAAGCCACTTTTTTTTTTCTGGGCCACGAAGCAAAACACACGTGAACACTTCCTAGCAAGTGCGGGGGAAGGAGGTCTTGAAAAGTTTCTGGTAAGAGGGAAGTCTGTCCTGCCCTTGTGTCTGGGTCTACGGTGAGAACACGGCTGCTCTGGCGAGAGGTCGTGCTGTGTGTGCCTACACACCCATGAGTGTCAGGACGCCCCCAGGGCTTTCCCGGGGGAAGGCGGACTCACCCTCACCTTTGTTCTTTCTGTTTCAGGCTTGAAAACACCTTGCCCAGTTTTGGTCCCTTCAAGACTTTGCCACAGCCTCTATCACACATCTGTTTTTCTCGAAGAAACAAATATAATAAAAATGTTTTACTCTTTTACACTGTATAATTTTAAAAAATAGTGTGTTATTTGTGAACGCATGGTCTGACATTTCTGTACAGTTTGGAGATATTTTCAAACGAAACATAAAAGATATCAACAATAAAACCAAGAGAGTGAGTATTTTTATACCAAACATTTTAAGTGTGAGAGGATGGATGATCTTACACTGGGTTGGATCAAGTTTTTGCGCTTGACTTTTGAATGCTTGTAATTAAAAAGATCTATTTTTTCCCTCCAAGCTGCATGTTTGAGGCATGTTCTTAAATACTACAGAATTTCCAGAATTGTATGTGAATGTATAGGCGTCCACCCGCCTGGCCGGAGCGCAGGGTAAGGTAGGGACAGAACGGCGAGCTACAGCCCTACTAGGTGCATGCTTCCTCCCCTCACCCCCACCCGCTGGTTCTAGTGGGGAGCTCCTGCGGGAGGATCTGAAGCCCCCACCCAGGCACACGCTGTCCGAAAGCACTGGCCGCTCCCAGGGGGCCCGTGCAGACTGTGCCCCGGGGTGGGTTCTGCCCTTCACTTAGGCTTCTCCTGCTCCCAGCTCACCCAGAGTGTGAGACCCACTGAGGCACACCTCCCCGAGAGGGGGAAGGGGAGGCGGGCCCACCTCACAAGGGAGCTGGCTGCTAGAGGCAGCTAGCTGCTGTCTCCCACGTGATCTTGCAAAACGCTGGGTGAACCGAGCAGCGTTCTGAGCTGGGGCAGCACCATGCCAGCCGCCGGCGGTGTGCTCCCCCGGGCGCTCCCCAGCCCCCCAGCCCCAGGAGGGAGGGCACAGCTCAGCTTACTTCAACACCCAAGTGTGGCGGCTGAAGCAGACCCCGCTCCAGCGTCCCACGGCTCAGTCTCTCCGTGTGGTGGAAGAGCCATGTGGAAAAAGAAATTGACCTAAGAATTCTCACCGGCTGATACAGCTCAGCGGGACACTAGCTTATTCAACCGTGGTGCTGAAGACTTCAGTGTTCTGGGGTGGAGAGTTACTATTTTCCATTAGAAGTAAGACCTCAAGAAGCTTTTTAAAGGTCATTACCCAAAAAGGGGAACAAGAAGAGCCAGGGTTGAGGGAGGGGCACGGCCAGCAGCATGGGGAGGGGAGGTAGGGGGTTTGCTTCGTTCAGACCCTGCTGAATGCCCCCTACCCTGACTTTCATTTCTAAGAAAAATCACGGCTGCCACACAGCCTACTATACTTTTATCAAGTGTGTAATTTCTATGGTCATTTTAAAAAATAAAATGCTTTTCCCAGCTGTCACACCATTGCTTGGCACATTCCTTTCACCCCCCGCAGCCCAGCAGCTTCCTTTGCGTTCTGAGCGATAGAGCTGAGGACTGAGGGACTAAGGAATAGGATGGGGACAGGCCAGTCAGGGCGCAGCCGCTACAAACGCTCAGCTGGGGGCACCGGTGACACATGGGCCTCTGGCCCTGACTGACCTGGCAGGAGGAGCTCAAGGTAGGTTCACACCCTTCCTGATGCCTTTTACTGGGCGCAGCCGACTCCACCCCCACGGCAGCCTGCGGAGCAGGAGCTCAGGTCGATCTGCATCCATGAAGGGTCATTAGTGGTTTTCGGCCAACTTCACGGGTAAGGCAGGTGTCGACAGCTAGGACAGTGCTGAGCCATACACCCACTGGCCCATCCCTTGTGCCCCAAAAGGGAAGCTTTGGAAATAACCCACAGTGCTCCGTTCAGAGTAAAGGCAACTATCAATAGTGACTATTACCGAGTAGTCTTGGCGAGCACGGCCGTTTCTGTCCCTTTTTGCAGAGGGACCATCCACCAGAAACAGGTCCCAGTCGTGCCTGCCTGGGAGCGTGGGTGTGACCGGAGAAGGCCAGTCTGCAGCTTGCCTCAGCCCATCTGTGACCTCCCACCACCCGGGCACCACAGGCTGGGCCGCTTGCCCCAAGGGGATGCCCTCCCTCTCCAGCCTGCCGCGGGCCCTCATCCTGGCCATCGGCTCTACCTCTCCACATCCAGACGCTTCCTCACAAAGGGCCTTGGGCTCGGTGAACCTGTGCCCCCATCAGCACTGTGCTGCTGGCCATAGGTGACATTCAAGTGACCAGACTGGATGGTATTTAACAGTCTAGTGTGAGTGCCAGACACGTTCCCACGGACTGGTGAAACACCCACTTCGTGACAGGAGGAGAAACAATCTTTTCTGTCAATCTGTTGAGCAGGAATACGGTATATCTTTTGGAATTGGGAACCTGGGATAAGAAAAAGGGAGGTCTGTCTGTCCCCTCTGCTTCCATGCATAATGTTCCAGTGTGCAGAGCCTGGAATGTGGCCACTAAGCCATCTGGTTCCAAGTGACCCTTTTGTTCTCCTGTTCACTTGTACCCCTTGGGAGCACAAGACTAGCTATCAAGCTATAAAACTGACACCTGAAACTAAACACGCTGCCTTCCGCCTCTGGGACAAAACTGCAAATTAATTTAGAAAAGAATCTTAAAACTGGCAGAATGGAAGTTACCCCTCCCGATGATCATCCAGATTCACCGGACCCAGGGCTTGCACAGACGTTGAACCAGCTGCCAATCACTGCCCTCCTCTGTGAGGTTCACCCAAAGCCCAGGACTCCATGGCATCTTGTGTCCTGACTTGTGTGGCATAAGGAACGTTCTTGTGACTGGAGGGGGAGTGGCTGATTTCCCTGAATTCTCTTTCTCTACAGAGGTTTCGGGGCACTGGGAATCCATTAGCAACTCCCGAGGGCTCTGGGCAGGGCACACTTAGTGTGAGGAGTATGTTCTGATTCCCCCATGTTTCATACCACTGGGGTGCCCGGCTGTCGAGGAAAAAGGGCATTCCTGCCCAGTTTAAAGAGCAGTGGCACGTGGTTGCACTTGACCTTCAACTCCAGATCCCGTGTCCTCTTGATACCACACATGTCCAACATCCTTAGGAGGCACAAGAACATCTGTTACTGGTGAGGTGTTCTCTGAAACTGTCCTCAGGACGCCTACGCTAAAACACACTGACAATCTTGGGGTGGCGATTTCAAGCCCCAAGTAGGGCAGATCACTTTTCAAAATGTCCACTCACTTAACATGACACTCCCGGCACAGCACAGGGACACACGATCCAAGGTTCAGTTAGTGTAGACACAGGTCCTAGAAGCCTCTGCCTCTTAGGGAACACCTACCGGGACAAGGCAGGACACGCTCGCAAAACACATACCAGGAAAGAACATCCCATCCTCCCTACGTGAAGCCCTGAGGACGGCAATAAATGGATGATGGGCCATCACTGCTGTCCACACGACCACCCCAGCCTTGTCACACAGTGTGTGTGGCCTTGGCTTGTTGAGACCCACCCAAAAAAGTCTCAGGAAACCCCACATCCTCTGGTAAGTGAAACCTATAAATACAGCAGCTACAGGGAAGAGTCTCCTCTGTGCCAGGGAATTGGCATTGGCTGGTAGTAAATGGGAAATTTATGAATCCAAATGCCAAAATCGCACATTCAGAACAGGTTTTGTTTGCTTGTGGCCTCCAAGAGCTCCCCAAACAAACCGCGGACTGTGTGTTCGCAGACCAGAAGCAGTGGGTATCCCCGCCTGGCCTTCTCGCGAGGACTCTGCTCCCTGGCTGCAGGGCTCCCCTCCGTCCCCAGGTCCCACCACCTTCTCACCACACTGCTAGGGAGTGACAGCAGCAGCTGGATGTTCCTTATTATAATTTTTGTCCAGGCACAACTCCATTTCTCTTAGCTCTCCCCTAAAAGTTTCCAATGACTGTCCTCAATTACACATCAAAATGCACAGCAGATTGTCTTCACCTCTGAAATCGGCCACCCACGTCCACTCCCACTCACTTCTAGATAGCCAAGTCTGGCAGAGATGAGCAGAGGCAAGAATGGGACTTCAACTCGAACTTGAATTTCAGGTGAGTGTGACACCCAGAAGAACTGGGTGTCCTTCCTTTTATTGTGACACAACTGGAACCCTCTCACAATTTCCCACCAAAACTACAATTCTCCTCGCATGTCACCAGGTGGCACAATCCTCAGGCCACCAGAAGGGGTAGATGAAGAAATTCCTCTTCCACATAGCAGCCAGAGGGGATCAAGGCACAACACAAAAAAATGCAAGTGAATGAGGTAAAGCTACAGAATTTGCAGGTGTGACAACTGAGCAAAATACTGCCTTTCTACAACTCAATTTACTCCTTTGTGAAAGTTTGGACAAAAGATATCAACAAGCCAGATTACAATACTGGCGAACACAGGGTTAGCTAGAAGCTACTACTCACACACACCTGGTGGCAAAGTAGCTTACCTTCAACTCTGTGCTGGTGGCCTTCACGTATGTCTCCTTGCACACAAGATGAAGTGCTTGAGATGTCCAAAATGCATTTCCAGACCTAACCAATGAAACAGAATGGTGACAGATGATATCACCAAGATGGTGACATAGGTCATTCCTGACTTTGCTCCCCGTCACAAAAACAAGTATACAAGGAAAAGACCACTGAGAGAATTCTGGAACACAAAGAGGAGGCTGAAGCACCCTTCTGAACCACCCCTCCCCTTGGCCTTGGTTTCTCTGGTGGGAAAAACAGCCAGCGTGGTCAGCAAGCTTCCCAACATTGTGGGTCACATCTTAGGAGCCCCAGCTTGGGTCTGGCCGCACCAGGATTTCAGGGGATCTGCGGAGCTTGACCACTGGCAATTTGACCATGAGAGAAGAGGAAGAAGGGGTTGCAACAACCAGCTCTCAGATCTTGGCGGCAAGAGTTCCTACCTGCAGCGCCCAAGCAGAGGTCCCAACCCATGGCTTATTCATCTGCAGAAGTCAGTCAGTGACGTGGTCTGACGAGGGGACTCGGTAGGAAGCAGGGCTGCCTGATCTAGGTCCTCAAATGAAGCAACTTTCCAGCCCTGGAGGGAGCAGAGTCATAAGCCTGCCCACGGCTGAGTGGAGCTCTTGACCCTGCCCAACCAGAAAGCCTGGAAAGCTGCGCAGCCCACAACGCTCGAGCAGGGAGTCCGGCAGGCAGGTCTCAAGAGTCTGTAGAGTGAAGCTGGGGGCCCGTCTAACCAGAGGGTTTGGGATGTGGGTTGGCTTGAGTAAGACAACAATCATACCAACCCTGAAGCTGGTTCTGCTGAGCCTAGGCAGGGACTTGAATCCATAGGCCCACCCACGGCTGAAGACAGCTTGCAGCCCACGCACAAGGGAACTGCACCAGTGCCCATAGGGAGCCGCCAGTACCACCAACAGCCCCTGCTCCCCGTAGCACTGGAACTGAACAGTGTGTACTCCCCATCCACAGGGTAAATCATGGGCCCTGACTAGCCAGGGAATTCAGGGTATAGTCACACCTGATTTGGGTACCAAACACTGAGCCATGCAGGCCCAGGGCCTGTCCTACTACCTGACTGCTGCAGAGAGCCCAATTCGTAGCCCAGCCTACTGAGTAACCCCATCCTGACCATCTAGAAAGCCTGACCAGAGAAGCTAAGGAACCCCAGAGTCTATCCTCTAGACTCACTCTGGCAGGGAACCAAGTAAGCAGTCCTAGCCAACTGTTCTCAGCCAGTATGACCCCCAGCCCGAAGCTCAGAGGCTGGGCAATGGCTTCATCAAAGAAGAGAGCTGACAGCAAGACCTACCTGCCCAATGATGTCACTAGCAGATAATCCAGAAGCCCAAACTAAGCTGACTGGTGAGGAACTGTCTCTGCTAAAGTAAACATGTACAGTTCAAAAGAAGTGGAGATCTACAAACTGTCCAAGAATTCAAAATTATCCTCTTAACGTTTAGTAAATTACACAATGTGAGAAAAACAGTAAATGAACAAAAGGAGAAGTTCAACAAGGAAATAGAAACCATTAAAAAAAATCCCAAAGCTGAAAATACAATGACTGCAGAGGCATTTAATGAAAACATTCACAAACTGAGGGTTGCAGGAGGGGGTGGGGGGAGGGAGGGATGGGGTGGCTGGGTGATGGACACTGGGGAAGGTATGTGCTATGTTGAGTGCTGTGAATTGTGTAAGACTGATGATTCACAGACCTGTACCTCTGGGGTAAATAATACATTATATGTTAATTTAAAAATAAATTTTCTAAAAATCTTTAAAATAAAAAAATAAAGAGTTTCAAAAGTAGTAGAATGAGCAACCTGGGGAAAAGGACACTAAAAATTATCCAGTCAGAGGAACAAAAAGAAAAAAAAATGGAAGAGAGTTAAGAATACCTTAGAGATTTACTGGACAGTCAAAAGAAACAATATTCATGTGATGGGAATTCCAAAAGATGAAAAATAGACAAAGTATATTTAAAGCAATAATGGCCGAAGACTTTCCAAACCTGGGAGAGAAATGGACATCCAGATCCCTGAGGCCCAAAGGACCCCAATTACACCAAGACACTTTTTTAAAAAATTGTCAAAAGTCAAAGACAAAGAATTTTGAAAGCAGCAAGAATAAAGTAAATTACAGACAAAGGAACCCACATACAAATATTGGGAATTTTTTTTAAAGATTTATTTACGGGGCAGCTGGGTGGCGCAGTCAGTTAAGCATCTGCCCTTATCAGGTCATGATCTCAGGGTTCTTAAGGGCTTCCAGATCAGCGGGGAATCTACTTCTCCCTCTGCCCCTCCCCATTTTGTGCATGCTCTCTCTCAATATTTATTTATTTGACAGAGCGAGTGAGCGAGTAAGCATGGGATAGCCGAAAGGGGGACAGAGGGAGAGAAAGAATCCCAAGCAGACTCTATGTTGAGCTCAGAGAACTCAACCTCACAACCTGAGCCAAACCAAGAGTCAGACGCTTAACTGACTGTGCCACCCAGGCGCCCTACCAGAGGATTTGTAATCAGAAACATTTCAGGCCAGGGAAGAATAGGATGACATACTAAAATCATTGAAAGAAAAAAAAAAAAACCTGTCAACCAAGAATTCTATACTTGGAAAAGCTGGCCTTTAGAGATGAGGAAAAATACTTTCCCAAACAAACAAAAGCCAAGGTAGTTTAACACCACTAGACCTCCCCTAATAAGAAATGCTGAAGGGAGTCCTTAGAAGGGAAGTAAAAAATATGCTAATTAATACTGAAAAAAACAAAGAAAGCATGAGACTTACTGGTAATGGTAAATACATAGTCAAAATTAGATTCTGTACCATGGTAATAGCAGTGCATAGCACACTTACAACTCTAGTTTAAAAATTTAAAAACACAGGAAAAAGAATAACAATAATAATCTGTTATTAGTTACACAATATTAAAAATATATAAACAATACCAATAACCTAAAGTGTGAGCAGGAGGGTAAGTATAAGTGTAAAGTTTAGAAAACCTATTAAAGTTATCAGGTTAAAATAAGGTGTTATAATTTTAATATATTTTATATAAGCTTCATGGTAAGCACAAGGAGAAAACACAGTAATTATACAAAAGAACATGACAGAGAAGTCAAAGCATACTGATATCAAAGGGTATCAAAACAAAAAAGACAAAATTTGAAACAAGGAACAACGGATCTACAAATCTACAAAAATGGATCTAAAAATTTAATAAATAGCAACAATAAGTCTCTATCAATAATTACCTTAACTAGATTAAATTCTACAACTGAAATACACAGAACACATTGACTGTATTCAAAAATAAGACCCAATGAAAATGCTGCCCACAAGACACTCACTTTAGCCTTAAAGACACACACAGACTAAGATTGAAGGGATGGTAAAGATATTTCAAGGAAATTATATCCAAAAAAAACCCAAAAACCAAAAAACAACCCAATAACCAGTAGATATATATATATCAGACAAAATAAACCTCAAATAAAAATGGTAAAAAGATACAAAGGCCATCCTATAATGATAAAGGGGTCAATCCTTCAAGAAGCTATAACAATTGTAAATATCTATGCACCAAAATCGGGGAGCATCCAAGTATATAAAGCAAAAACTAACAGAGCTAAAAGGAAAAATAAAAAGCAATACATTAAGAGTTGGGGGCTTTAATACCCCGCTCTCAACGATGGATGGATCATCCAGACAGAACCAATAGGAAACAACAGATCTGAACAATGCTTACAGACCAAATGGACCTAACAACCATATACAGAACATTCTATCTGAAAAGAGCAGGCTACATATTCTTCTCAGACACACGGGGAATATTTTCTAGGATAAACCAAATGCTGGGCCAAAAAAATAAGTCTTGGTAAAAATTTTTTTTAAGATTATTTATTTACGAGATAGAGACAGAATGTGTATGTGCAGGAGAGCACAAGCAAGGGGAGCTGCAGAAGGGGAGGGAGGAGCAGACTTCTCGCTGAGCAGGGAGCCTGATATGGGGCTCAATCCCAGAACCCCAAGATCATGACCTGAGCCAAAGGCAGATGCTTAACTGACAGAGCCACCCAGGTGTCCCAAGTCTTAGTAGACATACTAAGGTTGATATCAGGGGGCGCCTGGTGGCTCAGTCGTTAAGAGTCTGTCTTCAGCTCAGGTCATGATCCCAGGGTCCTGGGACCCAGCCCCAGCTGAGCAGGGAGCCAGCTACTCCCTCTCCCACTCCCCCTGCTTGTGTTCCCACTCTTGCTGTGTGTCGCTCTCTCTCAAATACATAAAATTTAAAAAAAAAAAAAAAAAAGTTGAAATTGTGCCAAGTATCTTCTCTGACCACAATGGTATGAAACTAGAAATCAACAAAAGAAGGAAAATGGAGAAATTCATGAATACATGGAAACTGAATGCTCTCATAAACCACCAGTGGATCAAAGAAGAAACTAAATGAAAAGTAAGTATCTTGAGACAGACAAAAATGGAAACACAATCGACAAAAACTTATGGGATGCAGCAAAAGCAGTTTTATTTTTTTAAATTTGAGAGAGATAGAGAGCTCATACACATAAGAAGGGGGAGTGCCAGGCAGAAGGAGAGGGAGAAGCAGGCTCCCTGCTGATCAGTGAGCCAGATGTGGGACTTGGTCCCAGGACCCCGGGATCATGACCTGAGAGGAAGGCAGACGTTTAATTGACTGAGCCACGCATGCGCCAGCAACAGCAGTTCTTAAAGGGAAATTCGCAGCAATAAACACCTACAGTAGAAACAAGAAAGACCTCAAATAAACAACCCAACTCTAAGCATTAAAGAATTAGAAAAAGAACAAAGTGAGCCAAAAGTGAACAGGAGGAAACAAATAATAAAGATTAAAGCAAGAGTAAATATGATAGGCGTACCTGGGTGGTTCAGTAGGTTAAGCACCTGCCTTCGGCTCAGGTCATGATCTCAGAGTCCTGGGATGGAGGCCTGTGTACGGCTCCCTCCACTGCAGGGAGTCTGCTTCTCCCTCTGCCTATCCCTCTGCTCATGCTCACTCTGTCTGTCTTGCAAATAAATAAATAAATAAATAAATAATAAAAAACTAGCTGTGAAAATTTTTAAAAATTAATATGATAGAGAACAGAAAAACAATGGAAAGATTAACCAAGGAGATGGTTCTTTGAAAAGATAAAATTGACAAACATTTAGCTAGACTAACCAAGAAAAAGATTCCAAGTCAACAAAATTATAAATGAAAAACAAAACATTACAACTGATACCATGGAAGTACAAAGTATCCTAAGAGGCTACTATGAACAACTATACACCAAACTGGACAACCTAGAAGAAATAGAAAAAAACTTGTTTTGTTTTCTTTTTTCTAAGTAAGCTCTATGCTCAACATGGGGCTTAAGTTAGGATACCAGTATCAAGAGTTTTGTGCTCTACTGAGACAGCCAGGCTCCTTGAAATGGGAAATTTTTTTGGAAAATACAACCTACCATGTCTGAAACGAGAGTAAGTAGAAAATCCAAAGAAACCAATTACTATTTGGAAGCTGAATCAGCAATCAAAAATCCCCCAACAAAGAAAAGCCCAAGACTAGATGTATTCAAAGATGTGTTTTACCAAGGATTTTAAGAATTAATGCCAATCCTTCTCAAAATTTTCCAAAAACTCAAAGAGGAGAAAACAATCCCAAATTCATCTTATAAGACAGGCATTAC